ACGGTGGCGGTGGCGGTTGTCGTTGTCGTTGTTAGCCACCGTCCCGCCGCCGTCCGGCCGCCGTCCGGCAGTGGCCTGATCCGCGCATTAACATATTATTGTTTTGGCTAGTTGGTGGATCGACTCGGTAGTTGGCGGCTTTGGGGCACTGATCTAGCCGCCAACGCGTTGGCCACTCGTTGAATCGTTGAATCGCTGAATCGCTGAATCGCCCAATCGCTGACTCGTAGATCGGCGGCTTTTGGCGCTGATTTCATCTGGCGCTGGGGGATGAGCCGGGCATTCTGTGGAACAACGCATCGCGACGGGTCTTGTAAATCGAAATTTATGCATGCCAATGGAGCATTTAAAGCGACATTTGTCCGCCGTGGCCATAACTCATGTGTAGCTCGAGCAGTCAGCGCCACCGCCTGTGTGCCTGACCAGCTCACACGCTTTGAGCCTTGCTCTGGTGGCAATCGGCCACATTTGCCGGGCCATTAGAGCTGGCCGAGAGCTGGCGCACTGGTGTTGCCAACCATACGAAAAACTGTTGATTTGGGTCACAATTAATTGGCTCTCGAGCGCCATAAATATAGCGTCGAACGTGGTAATCACAACAAAGGGCACAGCCGCAGCTGTGACCTCCCCACGGGCACACGCTTAGTTGAAGCGGGTGTGCGGATAATTATCATATCGCCCCGGTGTTTGCCTTAAGGAAACCTGTTGCTCCAGCAAATGTTGGCATAGACTGTGGGAAATGTAAAATTCATTTTGCATGTACACGGGTTAAAGAACTTAGCATAACTGAGAAATAGTTTGTATTTTTGGTCTATTGAAATATAGAATACAGTGAAACTTTCCTACTGGACACTCTTAATGGGGGACAACTCTCTTGAGCGGACATTTCCTCTCAAAGCCTTATAAGTCATACCACACCCATTGCCCCTCTAACGAGCAGAAACTCCTCTTGAGCGGACAAAAATGACTTAAATAGTTTAAAATCTTAAATTTATATAACGCTTTATTTTTCAACCGACGAACGCTGTCCGACCAAGAGAGTTTTTACTGTTCTCGTATGCTTCGAGCTCAGGCTCGAGTCCCAGGCTAGAGTCGTTTCTACTTAATAGCAACAATATACCCTTGTAGAGGATATTATATTTTGTCATGAAATTTGTAACGTTTAGAAGGAGTCATCTCCGACCCTATAAAGTATATATTCTAGATCAGCATCAACAGCCGAGTTGATGTCCGTCTATCTGTATAGAAACCTTGCATAGGTCCGTCTTTGCAGTCGGAGCCGTCTGAATCAAGCCTCTGTATTATAAAGCTGTCATAGCAACGATCGGTAAAAAATAATTTCATTTATTGCAAAGTACTCTATTTACCAAGATATTTTCATCTAGCTCAGCATTTATGACTATTCTCACATATCTGCAAAAGGGAAATGTCTACAAAGGTGTCGAAGATAACCCGACTTTCTCGTTGTCAATCTAATTAAGAAGACGACTTTGTACAATTTATACTATTTTTATGATACAATCTTTACAAGAGCAGCTAACTAAAAATGTTTTCATTTCTTTCATCACAAATTTCTAAAAAAAAAATTCTACAAAATTTAATGAAATTTACATTTAAAATACTATATGAGAAATGCTAATCTATCAATTACTCAAAGCTTCAGCTATTGTTAAGCTCCTAAGATGGATTAGCTGGCCTAATCCTCGAAAGCCCAATGAAGGTTTTCTTTGCCTTGCAAGTTACTTGTCATCTCCTATCTTATTTAATTTATGAGGTAAATCATAAAATTGAATGATAACATACGATTAGGTAGTCTAGTAAACAGAAACAGCTTTGGGACCATTAAAATTGACTTTATAACAGGCCAATTTATCGTCATGGCGAACGTTAATTTAAAGCCATGCCGCATCCGAGATCAGAGAGTTCTGCTGTTTGTGTTTATCTTAAACATAAGGATAATGTAATTTAATCCCTTCCAGCTAACAGGCCAGCACCTCGTCTACTCCGTACGTCAGTCATTTGCGAATCTGACTGCGGATTGGCTGTAAGCAAACGGTGGATGCGGATTAAGGATACGGCAGCGGCGCAGAAGGGATAATTCGCCAACCGACAATGCTGGGACAAAGGTGTTTTGTTTTTATGACTTTGTAACTCCTTCGCCCAGTAGACGGTCGTCCTGAGGCGGCTGCGTTTGCTCGTGTTAGCGAAAGGATAATTTTACGATCGTTATTCGCGCAGAGGCAGAGGCAGGTACCGTGTCCGGCTAAGTGGACACAATAGAACGCCTATTCGCACTGCAAATCCGACGATGGCCAAAGGAGTGACCAGTTCGGCACAATTGTTTTGACAAAGGCGGGCTTTATTTTGACTATTTAAAGGATTACGCTAAAGGATTGACTTTGCAACCTTGACTGCAGCCTCGTCTGCATCGTCAGACGCTAACGCCCACAATGAAGTTTTCCGCGAATCTTCAGATACTTGCTTAGGTCGCCTTGCCAATTCGTCCGACTGCGGGTTTTATGGTTCGCGAATGAGTTAAAAGCGACCTTTGGGTTTTCAATAAAACGAAAAGCAAATGAAAGGGCTTCACTTCCCCGAAGGACGTCGAAGAGTTAACGTAACTCTTTCGCAACTTGCACGTAAACCTTTTACCACTCACCAAGAAGTTGTAAAAATCTGAACAATCCACAAAACTGACTCTTGGCAAATTTCTAAAAAATTCTCAAAACAATAGCTTCAGACTTAATGTTAGACAAGAATCTAGGTAAATATGTTATTTTTCATTTTAGACAGGAATCTAGGTATATATTTAATTTCGTCAGTAACTCGTAGCCCTTTTTTTACTGCAAAACATAAATGGAAATTTAGGAGATGGATAGAATATTGATTAACTAGGGAATTAGCTTAAGACCTGTGATAAGGGAATTAAGAGATTGATTTTAATTTAATTGATTATTTAGTTTTAGAAAAATTACTATTTTATTTTTTATAATTTTTTATCAACTGTAAAGGCAAAATAATATGGACAGAAGATTGCCAAAAAACTACAAATTCGAGATCAAGTATAATAAATTACAACACTTTTGCGAAAAGTTATAAACATTAGCCTATTATAGTACCAATAATTCAGCTGTCATAGAAATAAAGTTGTTAGTTTCGGCAATATCTTTTATTTTAGATTGTTTGATTAATTCTTTCCTGATGTTAATTGTTAAGAATACAAATTGATGCTTTGTTTGTGAGCATAAGAACTAATCTTTATAATACACCCATGTTATCATTGCATAGAAAGTAAAATTTCGATTTAAATATGATTAACCTTAACTCACTAATCACAACCTTCATTACTCTAATAACACTTTAGCCAACCTTTTATGATTCGAATACTACATCATTAGTATTATTCAATTGCCATGGAAATTATCTGTATAAAGTTGGTAATATAGGCAACAATTCTTCTCTTTTTATCTATCGGTATATTATTGAAAGAATAAATTGTATTTATTTTGAATAAAAAATTAAGTTCTATCTTTTATCAAATAAACGTTAATGTGGAACCGATAAAAACTTGGACTTTGTGACCTTCTTAATATTTAGTGAATATTTTGCATAGACTCCAAACTCGTTTGTCCGAGCTGAAGCGACGAAATGAGAAATAAGTTTTTGGGCAGTCTGAATCGATTCTATATCTGAACGATTGTGGAAAGTTATCCCTGGCTAACTTGCCAGCTACCCATAGTTGCTGCTACCCACTGTCCACTTTGATCTAATGAGTCGTATAAATGCCGCCCGGCAACTGCGACGGCACATGGTTCCTCGGTTGCGTTACCGATAACTGTCAAGGAGAGCAATGAAAAATGACCAGTCAATGTCTCACTTCAATAGATGAGCAAACAGCGAAAGGCGCTTCCTCTTGCTGGCGGTGGTGGTGGTTGGCAGCCAATTTCTGGCTGAAAAACACCCAAACCGACCAAAATGTGACATTTTTCCATTGCGAAAATAGTGCATTTTATAGAAAAGTCGTCAACAACAGCGGCGAGGGGAACACCAAATTGCAGCTGCTCAAATTTAGAGTTGATATCAAAAACGTTTGTCGACTGGCTTAAGCGTGACAATTTTGGGTGGTTGCGAAGGGTTCCTAATGATCCAAAATTCGAACAAAGAAATTTGTCTAACAATTAATGGAGCTAGCAACAAAAATCGGTGCTTAATCAAAATTACTAAATATCGGGCGAATGTATAATAATTTATCGAATTTGAAATTGTGTGTTTAAGAATTTTCAGGAATTGAGAAAATTTTAGTAATAGGTGATAATAATTTTAGGAAATGTCAAAAATATATTAGATATAAAGGACAGTCTATGATTTAAATCAAAAAAATTACTATATTTTAAAACATTTTATTTATTTCGAAAGATTCTTTATTTATTTCTTACATACTTAGGACTTAAAGAAATCCTACATATTTTAAACGCAAATGAAAATTAAATAAATTAACTTTAATCATAATTAATCTTTTTTCTTTCGCATCACAAATAATATGAGATATAACCATATAAATGTAATATAATTAAATTATTTAGAAATTAATAATAGATCCAGTTTTAAAGACAAGCAAATAAATAATTATCAATTTAATATTAATTAATCTATCTGAGTATTTTGAAACAAAGAACTCCTAAGAAAAACGCGCAGTCTTTTTGATAAATTCGATCAAGTACAAGTACTTTGAATATATATTTTAATAAATATGAATAATATAATCGATTTATATATATTAACTGTACAATAGAAACAAAACGTTTTTCAGTCTCCAAGTTGAGCTGTGTTGCATTATCTATGCCCGGCCACAGTTCCTGGGCTCGATGATAATCGAACGCTCCAGGCAACAGACAACGGGTAACCCGTAACCCATGGCCAGCCACTGGGTTTTGAGGTATCAGAGGTTGTCGAGGAGTCGCTTCGGCCTCGGTCTCGGCCTATGCACATGCGCACTCGTCCTATGCACATGCGCACTCGTCCTATGCTTGTGTCCTGGGCACCGTAGGGAGTGCGCTGTGCGGCGACTGCGACTGTAACTGCGACTGCGCAGCATCTCGTTAGACATTTGCGTGTCACCGGCAAATGGTCGAGAATTTGTGGCGCGTTTGTTCCGGTTGTGTGTGTGTCTCAGTGTGTGTGTGCTTCAGTGTGTGTGTGTGTGTGTGTGTGCGGGCTGACTTAGGGCAGCGGCAGATGATACAGCGCCTGGTTGGAGGTGCTCAGCTCCTGCTGTTGCTGTTGCCGTAGCTGTTGTTGTTGTTGTTGTTGGTAGCTGCACTGCTGCTGCGTTTGTTGATGATATTGCGGTGTGTACTGCGCCTCGTACTGTTGGCCAAAGTGTGGCGGGAGTGGCAGCGGCGGCGACTGCTGCGGGTAATCATAGCTCTGCTGTGTGGCGGGCAAGTAAGCGGGATAGGCGGCATAGGGCATGGCAGCAGCCTGTGGATGCGGCTGTGGCTGCGGCTGAGGCTGTGGCGGCACAGTGGTGGCATCCAGGGGCGGCAACAGCGAGCCGTAGCCGGCGTTGGTGCAGTGCTCGGGTGAGGCTTCCAGAGTGCGATCCTTTTTGGATTTCATGCGTCGATTCTGGAACCAGATCTTGATCTGGCGCTCGCTCAGGCTGAGCGCATGGGCAATGTCCATGCGACGGCGGCGTGTGATATACCGATTGAAGTGGAACTCCTTCTCCAGCTCGAGCGTCTGGTAGCGGGAGTAGGTTTGCCTAGTGCGTTTGGAGTCTTTGCAATCTGCAAAAAGTCAGAGAAGAAAAGTAAAGAGTAAGTACGAGAGTTGTAAATGAGGGAGAGTGTCTGAGTGAGTGAGATAGAGAGAGAGAGAGAGAGGGTGGGAGGAGTGCGATGCCTACCTGATGCGAGAGTCTCCTCAATGTGCGACCAATTGAATTCGTTGTTGCCCGTGGCAGCTGTCACAATGCGATGATTGATTTCATGCGACTTCTCGGCCGGCGACTGGGGTGGCGTGCTGATGCCAATGCCATCGACCAGAGAGGCGGGCGTCGCGGGCGTGGTGGCAGCCGGCGGCGGTGTAACAAAGTCGCCATGCTTGGCCTGCTTGTGCGGCGAGTAGACGTCCAGATAGTCGACATCCTCGCTGGTGCTGCGCTGCGGCGACATGTGCGTCTGCTGTGTGGAGGGCGTGGGCACGGCATAGTCCTGCTCATAGCAGGGCGACAGCTCGCCGGCGGAGCTGCTCTTGCTGGGCTTCTTCACGTGCTCGATTGTCGTGTAGAAATAATCGGGTGTGTACTTCAGTTTCTTCACGGGATTGGTGAGCAGGGCGCGCAAGGTGCTGGGTCGCTCCTCCACGGCAGCAATGATATCGGCAGCGGATTCCTCTGCTTTGCGCTTGCGGCTCTTGACGGGCGCGGGCGAGTGGGCTTTGGTGAAGGGCTCGGCGACTGCTGGCGGCTGGTACTGAGGCACTGCAGCGAGTTCGGGCTGTGGCAGGACGGTCTGCTGGTAGTTGGCGTAGTAGCAGCTCTCGCTGTAGCTCTCCGGGCCGTACTGTGCGTAGCTGCCGGCCTGGTAGCTCGCCGGCTGCCAGCTGGCTGCTGTGGCAGCCATGGAGTTGCTCTGGTAGTAGCTGCTGCTGCTGCCGTTGCTGGTGTTATCGTAGTATGTGGGTGGCAGGGCGTGATGGTACATGTTGTACATGCTGTCGGCATAGTAGCTGTGGCTGTGCGTATTGGTGGCTGCCATTGCGTCTGTGTCTTATGTCCTCTAAGCGAAATGAACGATGTGTGCGCGACGCTGCTGCGTTTGCGAATGAGCTGCTCTGCTCTCTGATCCTGCCTTAATATAGCCAGAGTGGTGGAACTGCGAGCTGCGATTTGCGGACTGCGAACGGCACACGCGCTCGTCATAGCGCATAAATATCCCTGCGCATGACACTTTGACACATGCTGCGCGCACTACCCCTCCGGCCAGGACCTAGCCAGATTTATTGCTGGCAGGGGTAGCGCAGCGCTTATCCGGCCTGGCAACGTTTTATCCGGCCGAGTGGCGAGTTCTCATGGCCGGCCTACCTGCTGCGCAGCTTATTACCTACCCATCGCGCCCATTATCATCGCGAGTTGCAGCAAGTTATCCGCGCCCGAGCATTTCCCCTGCGCGGGCCGTGTCCTTGAGTTGCCTTGAGACGTGCGCAGGACGTCCCACGGGCGCGTAATTAAGTCGAGCCTCGGGTAGGTGGGCGAGCGGGACGGCTGCTGGGTGTTTTGCTGCTTTCCTCTAATTGCAATAATCATAAAGACATAAACAGAACTGTAAACTGTAAACGTTTGCTAAAACGGTTGGCACAAAAGGCTTTTCCTTTTGGCCCGTTTATTGTCGCCGCGCGGCAGCAGCAAATTCGTAAAAATTTCTCCGGCCTGCAACGTAGCGAAGCTGCTGCCATTCGTTCTAGGAATCGTCAAAGTATTCGCTTCAGCACGGGTAGCTTGGCTTGATAGAAGCCCTAGAGTTGGAACTGGTTGCGTGTATCAAGGCAAGGCAAGGGCGGAAGGGCTGCGAAAGGATAATATTGCGCGTGCTCCTTACCCATTTCCAAGCCCATTCTGGCAGCCCGTTGCCATCTTCAGTGATCCTTTGTTGCGTCGCGTGTTGCGCTTTTTGTTTGCTTGCGCGGGTTTCAGTGCGGCCTGGGCAAGTGCCCTCGAGGACTCTTGCGCATATTTGCATAGCTGACCCGTAAGCCGCTCAGCCAAATTGACTGGCCAAAAGGCGAGTTTACACGACTTTGTTATCCGCTTAGCCAGCAACAGCGCAGGCAGTTGCCGGGGCAGTGGCCGGGGCGGCTACAGCCACCCCCGACTCTGATCTAAGGCCCACCCTCCGCACCCTTATCAACCGATATCTATAAATTGACTGGCATATGTGTGCAGTTTGTGCATGTGCGAATTGTGCGGCTATCCCCGGCCCCGGCCCCTGCCCCTGGCCCCTTCGGCATTTGCTTTACCTCTCCCATTGTTATTGTTGCTGCAGAGCGCACGTTCGGTGACAGCCGGGCCAGAATTTATGGCGTTTTTCAGTTTGACAGGCCGCTGCCCGGGCGAGCGCGACCCACGACCCACGACAACCCACTTTCTAGCGCACAGGACCCTGCTATAAACACTTTCAGCTCTATAGATAGGGCATCGATGTTTGTAACAAATACTCGAATAAATCGCGCTTTATTCATGTGTGTTGCAAAAGGGAATCGGTAAAGAACATATCAGCCATATTGCTTTTCTTACTATTATCTTCAATTACATTTTGTAGATAATGTTCAGAAAGATGATTAAGAAATTTTATTTTAGTTCTTACCAAGTTTCTTAACCTTCAAAAATCTATATTTTATTCGATGTAATAAAAGAAAACCAACAATTTATTGTTTGATAAATGATCCGAGATTTTGGCAGTTAAATCAAAAATGGTTTATAACATTTTCACCCATGTTTGCACAATCATCTAGGAAATTACTCAAAAAATTAAACTATGTTGGATGGTTCCAAATAATCGGATAAGAAACTATTTATACTGTAAAATATTCCTTTTAATGCTTGAGCTTGTTTTCTTATTTGAGGAAAGTAAATTAAAAAGATATATTTCAAAGCTCTGTAGAGCTTTTCAGTCTCCTATGTTAATTTTTTTATAAACAATGTAAAAATTAAAACAGTCTATTTAGTTTAATAAATAGCACATGATTTTAAATTTTAAGTATTAATTTAAGTATAGAAATTGTTTATATATTTGTAAAATATTTCTTTAACGAGTAATCAAATTTTTAAATATATCTCAAGAAACAATTCTGAGACAGAATAATGACAGACTAATAACTGTTTTCTGATTTATAACTACTTCATGTCACCTATATAAATAAAATATTCTACATCAAAACCTAAATTTGAAGACTCGCATCATCAAAGTTAATTTAAAATTAACTGTGTGTAAAATTTAAAAGATTTTGCATAGTTAAGCTCGCACATCTGCCAGCTTTTCATATTGGCTTAGAAGTGCCAGTAAATCTCTTTCAGCAATTCGTCAGCTTGTCAAATGACTTGACCGAATCTTCCTTCCTTTTCCATATTTTATCGGATTTTCGTATCAGGTGCAGTTTAAATTTGTAGCTACCGCAGACACTCAACGTTTCGTTTCTGGGCGATTGACTTTTATCACTCAGCTGATTAGATAATCGGAATGAAATACTTGGAAAAACGCAACGAAATGCTGCTAAATCCGATTGCGAGCCGAAGTCAACTTTTGGCAACAATAATTGAGTTGTAAGGCCCACATGCGAGTGTTCCAACCACAACACACCCCGTAGCCAGGGGACGAGCGATTCGTGCGTTTTTATTGCCGAATTAATAAATTACCTTGACAGTGGAATCGGGACCATCCCATTGTGTTTGTGTGTGTGTGTGTGTGTGTGTGTGTGTGTGTACCCCATCCTGCCCGTTGCCCGCTGCCCGCTGCAGGCCAACGGCACATCCCCTTTCCTATCACTTTCATGAGGGTTAGCTCAGTCGAGATCCGGCATATAATCTGGACATTCAATATATATATATATACGTAAAGGAAAGGTAAAACAGGCACGCGCCTGAAGTAGGCGAATGTGTTAATACCCAGCGATGAGCCGTTAATATCATTAGCTGCGCCCAGGGATATTGCAATAATTATCATATAATACTGCAGATAATGAAGAAATATCTAGCTCTTAGGTGCACAATTACAATAAAGAGTTCACATAAATTCTTACAAACACAAACAACTTCAAAGGATTTCACATAATATTACAAATTGGCATTGGAAATCTGTTTGCGCCCCTCTCTGTTGGAGCATTACATAAGTATCGCTTAAGATACTCCAAATCGTGCGATTGTTTGTTTGTTTGTTTATTTGTCTGGCTTCGTTTACTCGGCCGAGGGTCACACGCTGTGGCTTTTAAGTTGACTTTTGCTGCTTGGCTCTCCTCTGGGAGTCGTAGATAGTTCAGTGCTCATTACGCCGTCCCCAAATGCTAATTGTGCGGCAACAACAACAACAACAACAATCGACAACAACAACTACAACAATCGACAACATCGCCACTCATTATCAGACCGAAACATGCGACGTCAAGCTGCGTATAAAACGAAAATAGCTGAGAAAAATGATCAGCAGCAACAACAAAACAAACAACACGAAGAAAAAGCTGTCTTCGGGATACCGAAGATGAAATACCCTTACAGACGATCAAAATATTAAGTCTGTCTATGTAGTATTTCTTCAGTTTTTGGACAGATGTAAAGTTGGAAATAACATCAATAACATAAGCTATAATTAAAAATGTTTAATAGAGAATCGACTCCTGACACTATTTGATATATAGATCCAATTCGGCTGCATAGATACTGCCTACAGGAGGAATCTGTGCAAAGTTCAATTAAATTTAATGCACTTGGCTTTAAATTCATTTAAACAATTTATGTATAGATGGTGCTTCTCCGATGTTGCCTTTAAAGCGTTACCCAGCTTGTGAAATCGTGAGAATACCCTATGTAAGGGCATTAAAATACATGCATATTGAAGTGTTGTAAATTTTAGGAGTCAGATTTATATATAGTATAAACGTCAGAGCGTCTAATCTGAGCACAGCGTGAGCTTTTCGCCGTATAACGAATCGAATCCCAATCGAAAAACTTGGACCAATCCCAACCCGTTGAAATGCCATCAATTTGATTGCCTCAATCGACGGCTAATTTGTGAAAAGAGAGGGAAAATGATATTTTTCTTAAAATTTGTTTGATTTAGCAATTAAGATGCACACGTCTCGATTTGGGTTGTGAATATTCATTTATATTCAGGCCCAGGCACTGCAGGTGTTGGCCAGCAACGCTCCCTGGCCAGATGAAGTAATTTTCAGCTTTGGCTACTCGTTTGCCTGGGCTGCTGCCACATTTGGCATGCCTCATTCGGCTGCAGGACAATTTCACTGGCCTTGATCCAAAGTCCTGTCGAGGTCACTCGCTTCGAGGCTGAATGAGCGAATAGGAAAAGCCAGCGTGGGTGTGCTGGCCTTGGATAATCACGATCGGAGCACGGCACCAATCAAAGTCAAGGCAACTGCTAAGGACCTCTCGGCTGTGCTCCTTATTATGCTGTGTGTACAAACATTCTCTCAATGCGTCACGCGTCGCCTTCGTCCTTGGCTCATCGTTGCCGTCGTCGTCGCCGTCGTCGGCTTCTGTTCTCTTTATTTGGCTGTCGTTAGGATATTTGCGCTCAATGTCATCCTGCCTGCAATGTCATCCTCCGTGTTGACATTTCCTTAGCGCATTAATTGCTTCTGTCACACTTATTCGCATTGTTTCGCTCTCATCGTAATGAGGTCCTCGTAAAGTAGCTGCAATGGAATGAATTATGCATTTACAGTCAGCTCTTGCTTTGTACTTTTTTATGGCCCTAAATAAATTGTGTGACAATCATTCGACAATGTTAACACCTTCTGTGTGGCAATGGGCTAAGACTACCAATATCTTCAAATGCGCAACAATTACAGATTTAAAATATTAAATTACTTTGTAATATTTTTTATTTATTTTTATTGACGTACTTTTGCGAAGTGTACTTAAATTCTATCAGTACACATGTAATTCGATGAGTTCGTACCCTACTGCCTGCCAGAAATTATAAATTATCTATGAAATGTTTAATGCTTATAGAAGGAGGACTTTTTTGATCTTTATGATCAGAATCAACTGTCCTTTGTGTCTCGAAAAAGCTTTAATATATAAATAGAGTATTATAATATTTTTACATGAAATGTGTAACGCATAGAAGGATACATCGCTGACCCCACAAAGTATATTTATTCTAGATCTAGATATAACCATGACCGTCTTCTGTTTCTATGCAAAATAGTCTCTCAATTTTAAAGCTATCGTCTTGAAACATTGCATAGGTATGACTTCTGTTGCAGACAGTACATATGTCGAAACCGACCGGATCGGACCACTAAATAGCTGATATAGGAACGATCGGTCGAAAGGAACAACATTTTTGTTTATCAAGATATTTTGACTTAACTCGGAATTTATTAGTTTTACTATGCTCCTCATGAATAAACAAAATCCTATTAATATCGAAACACTGTATTATAAGCTGACATACGAACGAGGGGTCGAAAATCAACTTATTGTATTGAAAACTTTTTGTTTTTCAAGATATCTTAACCATACTCGGCATTAGCTATTTTCCCTGTGCTTCTTAGATACAAGCAAAACATTATGAGCATTATGAAAAGGTTCCCTCTGCAAGGGTATCAATTATACAGTGTGCCGAAGATAGTCCTTCTTTCTCGTTTCTAGATTTATATATTCCAGCAGAATCGGATTATGTTGTCAGATAAAAACCACAAGATTTGATTTCGAACCTTGCCTTGTCATATTTTTTTTTTAATTTAAATAAAATAATTAAAGTTTTACTGAAAATGTTACAAGCCTTACATTTAAAAATTGAAATAATAAAATCTAAGATAAGGGAAAATTAAACTAGCAATAGTAGCTATGGCCTTCAGCTAGATATTATATGTGTATTTTTAATCTAGATACTATATTTGTTGTATGTAGTAAGGTAATGTGTCTTAAGGCATATAAATTTAATGAGGATTTTTTATTTTCCCTATATGTTGTAATTGTGTACTTAATGGGATAAATTGAACTTGTTTGTGCATTGGAGTATTCCTTAAATAATCTAGAATTTTAAATATATTTGCATTGTTTGGATTGCAAGCCATACATTTTTTTTATATATTGGAATAGGGAATTCACAGCATTATATATATAGCTCCCAAATGAACTATCGGTCATAAATTAAA